CTACAGGAAGACTAAGACTTCATGACCAGTGTAGACCACGTACAAGATATTACTTTAAGAAGACTGGGCAGTGGCTCAGCAGTTAAGAGCAGTGGTTATTCTCCCAGAGAAAATGAGTTTAGTTCACTGCATCCATGTCGTGGCTTACAACCGTCCCAACTCAGTTCTAGGGTACCTGACGCCCTCCTCTGACCCCAGGCTTAAGGCATGCTCGTGGTGCACAGACATACATACATCAGACAGTACACACACATGAAAATGTCCTGAGAAAGAGTCGATCTACCATATCATCCTACAGTTCCACTGTTGGGCTTATGTCCGAAGGAAATGAAATCACTACGTCAAAGAGACATCTGTACCCCTGTGTTTATTACAGTATTATTCACAATAACAAAGAAACAACCTAAGTATATGTTGACAGATGAGTGGATAAGGGAAGTATACATATCAATTATGGAATATAAGTCAGTCATAAAGAAAAAAAAAGAGCAAAAACCTGTCATTTGCGTTATCACTGGAACTGGGGTACACAATGTTAAGTGAAACAAGTCAGGCTTGCCAATCAGAAGTGGCATATGAAAACATTCGTCTCAGTGGTGACCTTTTATCCCCAGTACTCTGGAGGCAGAGGCCGGCAGATCTCTTGAGTTCAAGGATGGCTTGGGCTACATAGAGAAACAAAACAACAACATTAATCTCAGGCTGAGGAGATAGTTCAGTGGGTAAAAGTGCATGTCATGCAAGTATGAGGACCCAAGTTCAAATCCCCAGAACCTATCTAACAGCCAGACACATAACGTGAGCATCTATACTCTCAGCACTTCTACAGGGAATTAGGAAACACAGAGGAATCCCTGGATGTTGGTGGGCCAGCTAGCCTGGCGCTGCACACACACATGCGCACACAAATAACAACACAAAAAGCAGATAAACAGGGGCTCTGTCTCAAAACAAGATGGAAGGCTGGGGCTATGAGGCCCTAGGTTCAGTCCCCGGCACCTACTTTTAAAAAATGCTAATGCCCAGGCTGTGGAGATGGTAAAGGCACTTGCCTCCAAGCCTGATGGCCTGAGTGTGAGACCCAGGACCCACATAGGAGAAAGACAGAAGCTACTCCTACAAGCTCTCCCCAGCCTCCATGTGTGTGATATAGCAGTGCCCCACCCTCAAAAGTGTGTAAAACATTTGAAACAAGACTTCCGGAAGGTGAGGACTGACCCATGAGGTTATTCTCTCCGGAGGCATGGAGGCACGTGAGAGGTTATTCTCTCACGTGTGGCATGGCAGTGCACACCTGCACACACACTGACCTCACTGTTGGTATAGGTCATAGAAGAGTGTGCTGGGCTTGTGTCAGGTCCTGGATTCAGCAAAGAGTCGGTTTCACAGAAGGTTGAGTCTGGCGGTGGACCAGACACTGGAGAGGATAGGAAAGGGGAAGATGAGGAATTTAACTGGTGGGCCCCAATCTAGATGGGCTAAGATGTCCCACAGCTGAGCAACCGCAGACAAGACACTGCCCTTTCAAAAGGCTAGAAGGAAGGACTTTGGATGTTTCACCGTTAAAGGAATGAATAGGTGCGCTTGATTGATTTAATATCACAAATATGTACAAATTCAAAATATCCCATGGTGCTCTATAAATACAATTTTTTTATGTTTTCATTATCAGTTAAAAGTAGATTTAAAGGTTAGATGTGGTGGTGCACACTTTGAGCCCCATCTTTAGGAGGCAGAGGCAGGCAGATAGCATGGTCTACATAACAAGTTCCAGGCCAGCCAGGCAACCAGTAAGGTACATGGAAGGACCTGAATTCAGTGCCCAGAACCCCTGAAAGAAAGCCAAGTGTGGTGGTGTGCTTGTAATCACAGTGCTGGGGAGACAGATGGAGGTGTTTGGCTTGCTGGCCGGCCAGCCTACTCAGTGAGCTCCGGGCCAGTGAACTGCTGAGTAACAACTCCAGAGGCTGACCTCTGGCTTCCACACAAATGTGCACCTGTGCACATACACACTTACATATAGAAATCCTTCAATTATTAAAGAAAACTATATAACATTTGTGTGTGTGTGTGTGTGTGTGTGTATGTATGTATGTCTCCCAAGATGGATCCTAAATCCTAGTCTCTTCACATATAATACTGAGTTAATACTGCAGCCGGCTCTCACTGGAGGAAAACATGGTCATAATCTCTTTTACAGTTTCCTAAGTATATATTTATTCATTAATAATTGCTAGTTTCCGGACTGTCATTTCCAAGGCCAAACGTTAAATAAACATGTTGGAAACTTAAACTAACGGTCTCAGGAAAACTGAATGAAAGATAAAGGGCTTCCAAATCTTAGATCTTGTCATAATTTTGCCAAATTATGCCAAACTTATGCCAAACTGCCCAATGTTTATGAAAAAAGTTAATTACTTCTTTGGTTTGAAACATGGGAAGTCTCATTATTAATATGTTTGTATGTTTATTTGTGTCTGTGAGTGCAGGCGCGTGTCTGCATACGGATGCGCACACACAGGCCAGAAGAGGGTGCTGGGTGTCTGCTGTCACTGTTCTTGAATCTGAGGCCCACTCTCAGCTAAACTGGCAGCAGTGAGCCCTGGCAGTCCTCCTGTCACCCGTGACCTGGCCCTATGTCAGCGCAGAGACACAACTGCAGGAACGTGCTGGGATCCAAACCCCTGGTCGTCATGGTTGTCCAGCTCTTAACTCTTGGGTCATCTCTCTGGCCTCTGTTTATTATTTATTTGTTTATTTGTTTGTTTATTTTGAGAGGGTCTTCTGTTCCACAGGCTGGCCTCGAACTTGCTGTATAGTTATGGGTGATATTGAATCTGTAATCCTGGGATTACAGACGTGTTCCAACGTGCTGGATTTTACACATTCTGGATATCGAACTGCAGGCTTTGTGTATGCTAGGCAAGCATCGTGCCAACCAAGCTACATTCTCAGCCCCATGTTCTTCTCTTGTTTAAACTTGTTTTCTTAGACTAAATGAAAACTTGACAGAATTTCTAAGCTCCTTTCCTGTCCAAGTACAAGTTTGAGGACAGGATTCCAGTAGTTGGGAAAACTGTTTTTCCTGGTGGAAGCTTTCATCCAAGAGGCTCTTCTGGCCCTCCGTGCTCCTTTCTCCCAGGTCAGTGCTGTCAGTTCAGCAACAACAAAGTTGGTTTTCAAAGTCAACTCCCGAACGTTCTTGGCAGGCAGCAGCGCGACTCTCCCTGTAAGGGTGCTTGCTGACACTCCTTCTCCTGCCATTCTGGGTCAGGGCTGGGAGCACCCTAGGAGAAAACCTCTTCCCTCATAGAAGGCTCTCTGTGGACTCCTGTGGGTTAAACTGCAAAAATGCTAATAGGAAAAAGATGTTTACAAATAGTATTGTCATTGATATTTTAAATATTGTGTTCAGATACACACCCTGAAAACTCACAGAAACCATTAGACTTGGAAATTTGCTTACCTGATTAATGAAGGGTGATAAATAAAGTCACTTGGAGCAGTCAGTTGTTGGAAGAAAAACAATTATAGATATAGGTTAATTTAGTAAGTTTGTATAATTTATGTCAACTTTTTATCTTCACCACCAAAAAATTCCCCCAGTCTTCTCTTCATTTCTCAGTTTTTTGCTTTGATTGGATAGAAGAAACTTCTAGAAGGTTGCTGTTGATTCTCAGTTACCTTCAACTCAAACAATGTCAAAGGAGATTCTTGGGGTAGGATGTTCTGATCGCCTTTAGTGTTTAGAGAGGAAAATGTGCAGGTAAGAGTCTTAATCCCATGATTCTGTTCTAAACAGACAAAGGGCCTTGTCACTTGACATACCTGGAACCTTAATTTTACTCTCTGGAGAGCAAGGCAGTTAGAACATATAACCTGTAAGCGTTTATAGTAAAGTTACTCAGTAACTGTTCTTGAGGATAGAAAAGATTGACACTTTGGAATACCCATGTTTGCCCATCTCTTCCAAGACTGTTTAGAGTTAGGGTTTATTGGGGCATGAGAGGTTTCTGCCACATACTTCAGAGACCTGATTCAGACACTTACCTAACCTGAGGTTGACTCACCAATCCTGAGTGATTGGAGGCAATTTGGTGGGAGGAGATCCTTGAGGGAGGTCTTCCCTCACAGCGTGGGGTCGCCCCTGAAAACCGCCTGCTGCCGTTTCAAGATCTGGTCATTTCTTAGCTCTTCCCAGTGAACCTATCACGATTCCTTTTTAGCCGGAGTCACAGTTGGCCCAGACTAACTTGGGACTAATCACAATTCTTTCATTATTATATAAGGTGGAGACAGCACGAACTCTGAAGTCAGCCAGGGCTGGGAGTTTAGTATCTGACTGTGCCATTTTAAACTTTGCAGATGGGGTTTCCTGCCCTCAGTTTCCATCCACAAAGTAGCAACACCTAAGTCCTTCCCTTACATCTGTACAGTGCCGATCGAACCCCAGCAGAGCCTCTCATAATGAGATCAGTAGCACTCGTCCCTGTTTACACTTGGGCTTCATTGAGGACACCGTGTGGATTTGCTTTGCATGGTAAAGCATCACAGAGGTTTAAAGCCCAAGTCTGGTTCACTGCACTGGGGTCCTGGGCCTCTGTCAGGAGCTTGCTTATGCCAGAAGATAGCCGTAGCTGCACCAACTTGCTTTCTGTTCCATCACTGTGAGGAGACACCATGACCAAGGCAACTTATAAAAGAACGCTTAATTTTGGGGCTCAACTACAGTTTTCGAGGCTTAGTTCGTGATCATCATGGTGGGAAGCTGACAGGCACTGGAGCAGTAGCTGAGAGATTGGTCTTTGTGTGAATTTTTTGAACCCTCAGAGCCCATTCCTGGGGACAAACCCTCCAACAATGCCACACCTCCTAGTCCTTTCCAAACAGTTCCTCGGCTGGTGACTAAGCACACGAATAGACGAGCCTATGGGGCCATTCTCTTTTAAACTGCTACAGCCATCTTGCAGGTTTCTGAAGCCTCCTCTTATGTTTTACAGGAATCTGAATTTCTGTGTCTGGAATTTGATGAGGTTAAAGTCAAGCAGGTCCTGAAGAGACTGTCGGAGGTGGAAGAGAGCATCGGCACGCTGATGCAAGCAGCCTGACGCACGTGTGCGTGCGTGCGTGCGTGCGTGCGTGCGATTGGAAGAAGTATTGGAGTGTTCCTGAGCCTTGCCGCTGACCCTGTGACTCCTGTGTCCCCACTGGTGGTACCAACGGGCATTGCATACATATGTGAAAGTCTCAAAGAATAAATAAAAAACATATTTTAAAAAGTGACTTTAAAAAAAGAAAACCCCTCCATTTCAAATCTTACTGTGTCCTCTTGCTGGCTTCTTTTGCTTTCACATCTGCTCCATTGGAGAGGTTCCCACGCATAAAGATTATGAGGAACAATTATAAAAAGCACTGAAATTACAAAGGAGGCTGCTGGGTAAACAGCTCCAGGTAAAGCTCTCGTTTACCGTGCAAGGAGGTGGGCAGGTCTAGGGTCTCACCTCAGCGCCCAGCTTGAGCCTGCTGAGATTCTTCTGGGACTGACTGATGGAGCTGAATTGGTGTTTTATAAATCTAGAGGTTGGGTTTCATCTGAGTAGGGATACTCAGTTTTGTAAAATTACATTTATCTTCTGTGAATGTGTATGTGGGTATGTGGAGAGGGCCACATGTCACAGCGTACCTATGGAGGGCAGAGGACAAGGAGACTTAGTTCTCCCTTCTATATTGTGAGTTCCAGGGCTTGAGCTCTGCTTGCCAGGAATGGCAGTGGGCACCTGTCTCACAGGGCAGGTGTGCGCATGCGCACACACAGGAGAAAGACCTGACATCAACGTCTGGCCTCCACATGCACGTGCACACGAGCACACGTACCAGACCTCAGACGTACATGGACATGCAAATGTGCGTGTATACACAGAGAAAGAGGAACTAGTCTAATGAGAACTGTTCTTGTGGCAAAGTATGTTAAGAGACTTCCCGTAACTGAGGCAGAATGCTTGGAAGTCATCATCTCGGAGGGAGGGAGGGTTTCTCTCGGCTCTCAGTTTTGGAGGCTTCAGTCCATGGTCACTTGACGCCTTGTTTTGGGCCTGAGGTGAGACAGAGAATCAAGGAAGCGAGCATATAAAGAAGCAAAGCCATACCCCTCCTGCAGCCAGGAAGCATGGAGAGACCGGAAAGAGTAGGGCTCTAGGCTCCTCAGAGGGTGCGTCCCTAAGGACCTGAGCTCCTCTTACTGGTTCCCACCTCCTAAGGGTTCTTCCCAGGAGCAACGCAGGCAACTCATGGCCCCTTGGGGAAAACCCAGGACCACCTCCGAAGGCAGTTACCAAACACCAGGAATATTCCAGCAGAAGAAACTAATCCTTGTGAGCATGTGTGTCATGTGATCCTGACGCTTGGAAATCGTAGTTGTTTTGGGGTTATGCGTTTAGAATGCTGTTCTCTTGGCCCAGAGTAACCACCTTTCCGCTCTAAAGCATTTACCCCAGATCTACTGCAAGTCCTTCCTCCTAAATCAGCTAGGAGACACTTTCAAAGCTTCCAGTGTCCCCTGGGAACCGTCTGGCTCCCTTCCCTTATCAAAGGGAAGAAGTTAGGAAACAATGACCAGAAGGCTTTAGATGTTGCCCTCCCCTCCCCCAAGCCTTTCAGAAAATATCTTCAAATGAATACTTAGAGTACATCCAGAATGAGTGTGTGGTTTGGGACAGAAAGCTCTAAAAGCGTCTTCTGTTCCCCCGGTACTCCCACGGAACCTAGAATGTAGGTAATGTGCCCCGCTGTGAAGTGGAGGAAAAGAGGATTCCATCAGATAATGGGATTTCAGCCCTGGAAGGAAGGGCTGCAGCTGCCCCATTAGTGATGACTCACAGGCCATGAGGTCTGGAATTGAAAAGGACCAGTCCATGTCTGCATACTGCTGTGGGTCGAAGCTCTGCCTAGTTACCATGCAAGCAATAGCCGGACAAATGACATGGGCTTTTAAAGGAATTCTCCAAACCCTGGGCCACTAGAAAAACTACTGTTAACGTATATGGAGTTTTCTAAAATATTTTTTGGAAAACAAAACTGATTCCTGAAGATGGTCTCCACTTTCCATATTACACATGTCTGGATAAAACTTGTTTTGTACAAGGTATATTTTATATTCACTGATTTTTAATTTTTTTTATTAAAGACAAAGAATAATAAACAATGTTTATTATAATATATTATAAAAATATAGAAACAGGCCGGGCGGTGGTGGCGCACGCCTTTAATCCCAGCACTCGGGAGGCAGAGGCAGGCGGATCTCTGTGAGTTCGAGGCCAGCCTGGTCTTACAAGAGCTAGTTCCAGGACAGGAACCAAAAGCTATGGAGAAACCCTGTCTCGAAAAACAGCTGGACGGTGATGACACAAGCCTTTAATCCTAGCACTCAGGAGGTAGGGGCAGGCAGGTCTCTGAGTTCAAGACCAGCCTAGTCAACAGAGCCAGTTCTAGAACAACTAGGGCTACATAGAGAAACCCTGTCTCGAAACCCCCCCCCCCCCGCCCAAAATATAGAAACATACAAAGAAAAACAGTTAAATAACCTATTAAGCAAACATACAGAGACAGCCAGAAGAATCCAGAAAAATGTGATTTTCCCCTGTGTTTTCAGAAGCAGAGCATGTGGTTTTAAAGCCTGCGAAAGGGTAGCTGGAGGGCTTTCCAAAGTGTGCCATTTTCTCTAGACAGTATGACAGGGCCACTCCCTTCTGGGTGCCTGGGTAGTATCCTCTCTGTGTATTTTCTGGAATGGTTGTTTTTGTAGAGTTTTGTAAGGGACACTCATTCTCAATGAGGGACGGGCCAAGAATATGGCAGGAAGGTTCAGCCTACTAGGTTTTCTACATCTGTAATCCTAGGACCACCTTGAGGTTAGGAACCGGAGGATAAAATAAAAATGACTGTCAGCCTGAGCCAGGCCTCATGGGAATCACGTCTGCTTCGGTGGTGGTCATTCTAGCATCCGTCTGTAGAACAGCCCAGCCAAGTCAAAAACTACCTTTCAAGTGAGGAGGGTGACTATCCAGGTTTTGGGAGCTTTCTGGCTATATGAGTGATGCCTCTGGCTTACTCTCTGGTCTGACTGCTTTCGGATGCTCTGGCTCCTATCAGCTGAGAACCAAATTCCACCACTATAGCCTTCCCTTTATGTAATCTCTCTTCAGAGAGTCACAGAAATTTTAAAGCCGGGAGCTTCACTATTCTCCCTAAATACAGGAAGGGAGAAGAAAGCCAGGGCTGACGTGAGCACCTGAAATCTCAAATAGCTGACATTGTGTCAAACTATTCATTATTGAAGTTCTTTCTTTAGAACAGCCTGAAACTTGAGAGAGCAGAATATAAATAGAAATGGAAGGAAAACGAATGTTGACAGACAGAAACTGTCTTGTGGCACGCACAGTTAATGCTCAGACCGGGGATAAGGATACAGACAGAATCCTTGCGTTAGCTGGGAAATTATTGGACACCAGCCTTAAGCCTTAGCTCCCCACCCCTACAGAAAAGATGTCTTAGATGGGATTTTGCCACAGTAGTGTGAACCTAAACAGAACCTAGCTAGCTTAAACTGGACTCTATTTGACCCTCAAATTAGAGAAATTACAAGTTTCACCTGAGTTTGATTGGGTCCCCTCATATGGAGGTGACTGATTGTCTCTGGGGTATCACAGCTATAGGAAATGCCAAGCTAGCCTTTGTTACAAAGGACCCACTGTAGTCTGCTTCCTGTATGATAAGGGAGCCAAGTGACATCGCCAACAAGCTCAGCACAGAAGTATCAGAGTAAAGCACAGAAGTATCAGAGTAAACTACAGAGCTGTACATGAGCAGATGATTAAATATGAAAATTAATATCATTTGTTCGCCCGGGACTATAATTAGGTCTTGATGTTCTTTCTCTGTTTCTGCTCACCTGCTTAAAACTGGTTTTCTGTTTCCTGTGGGTATTAGAGACTCAAATTCTGGAGAGGACTGGAGGAGGGGAAGTAAATTTGATTGCACAGACAGAATGAAGTGAAACATTTTAAAAGATTCTGAGGGCAGTTTTAGAAAAACTAAGTTTTTAGCCGGGCAGTGGTGGCACTCGCCTTTAGTCCCAGCACTCAGGGAAGAGGCAGACGCAGGTAGATCTCACAGAGAAACCCTGCCTTGAAAAAACAAAAAGAAAAGAAAAGCCTAAACTTTTAAGATGCCATGTTACTGTTTGGTTTTTCAAGAAAGGGTTTCTCTGTGTCGCTCTGGCTGTCCTGGAACTCACTCCGTAGATCAGGCTGGCCTTGAACTCAAGTGATCTCTTTGCCTCTGCCTCCTGAGTGCTGGGATTAAAGGCGTGTGCCACCACCACCAGGCAACTGATTTATATTCTCTCCAGAACCAAGGCTATGGACTGGCACAGATCTCAGAATGACTGATGCCGACACCGGCAGAGGCTGTTGTAGCCTCCTCTCGAACATCTGGATAGATTGGCAGCAGACTTGTACAAGGGCATGGTCAGGACGGCCAGGAAGACATTTGGGGGCTGCTGACTTCCATCTCTGTCTACCTTATCAGAGATATGTGATTATGAATGAATAAATAAATCTGTGTCTTTGCCGGGACCCAGATACGCCACGCAGCAAGGATGCTGGTTGACACAGGAGGCCGTGGCATGGGCCCAGTCATCTTCGTTCTGTGTCCCTATCAGATTGCTCTGTGCTGGAGGCTGCTATTGTTTTCACACAGCCTGGTTCTGTTTATGACACCCTTGGTCTCACTCCCCACTCATTGGCACCCGTCTCTGAGGGCAATGTACCACATGAATGGGGCTTCCTGGCTGTCCACTGTACCCAGGCAGGTGGCTGTTCTTATCCTCCCTAGGCAACCAGGCTTGCTGGACACAGCCTAGCTCTGGGCTGTTAATGAGTTCTAGCAGCGTCCACGGTGAGCCCTGTGGCATCTCTACCCCTGTGCCCCAGCAAGGCTCCCTGTGCTGCAGTCGAAAGCCGGCTACGTTTCATGAAGCTTCAGTTATCAAGTCGCACATGACGCAAAGGTTTAAATGTTAAGTCAGCACAGGATTGTATGGAGCGAGAAGTTTCCTTTTCCTCCTTTACAAAGACATGGCGGAGGGAGAAAGGGCTCAGAGGCTGGGACCATTGATGCTCGAGTTTCCAGCACTCACACAGCAGGGCACACGTGTTAGGAACAGTAGCTCCAAGATCTAGCACTTCCAGCCTCAGTACGCACCAGGCATGTACAGGGTCCACATACATACCTGCAGGCGCATACATACACA